CATCTAAAAAAGCGACATTAATTTCTTGACGACCTAATAAAAAAATTCGACATATATATCGATCAAAAAAGATGTACAAATGGTATTTTTGCATTTTTATCATTTAAGAGTTCTTTCAGCGATTGTGTGTTTGGACAAATAAAATTTCTGATTTCCAAATTGATAAAAGTCGTTATTACACGTGCAGCGAAAAAAAAATTTGACTTATTTCCAAATAAAACCAATAAGTGAAGGAGATATGAATGATGCAAAATTTTCGTCCAGCTAACTTTGTTCTGTTTTTTTGCATCTTTTGGTCCCTATAATAGTAGGCCTATAAATATATAGAATAAGCGTACTCAGGTTTAATGTCTGTAACGTCAAATTTTGTGTCAATGAAAACTTTTAAATCTAATTTTTACCACACAAGATGGCCCGGATTTTTGGTCTGACTTAAGTGGAAGTAACGTCAAAAAATGTATGTGCATTTTATAGATGTGTGTGCTCCCGTTGTAGTGTCAGAATAAAAAAAAATCCATCAAACGCTGTCGTGTCTGGAGACAAACAAGACAAACTTTTTTTTTTTAGAACAGACAAGTTAAACCCACAAAATTCTGCAAAAATAAATAGGTTTTTATTCACTTTATTTTGGGAGGGGAATTAGGTATGATAAACATTTCTGACGCTGATTATGTAAAATGTCGATAAAAGAAAAACAATACTGATTGCCAATCACAAGCAGCAAAACGTATGCAATAAAAGTAACAGTGAGACTCCACAAGTAACCAAAAATGTCATTTATCCAGAGGCATCGCAATGACTGTTGGGGGGGGGGTATTTTCTTTAATTTTTACGCTCAAAGCCATTTATCGCACAGAGATATAGGCATTTGACATGTATTGTTACATGAAAAGCGAAATTTGTATTTAAAAATAGTTAACATTGGCCCTCTGTTCAGGTAATGCCCGGGCAACGCCGGCTAGTATAACATTTCAACCACATCGTACCTCATATATCCAGTGTCGACGAGGCTTTTCATCTAGCACTAGGACTCATTAGGCCAGCTTAGATATAACAAACATAATGTAAAAATTTGAATCATATAATTGTTTTGCGCAACTTCGTCATTATTTCGATTTTTCTTATAAATCAGCTACAACAAAAGTACTACATCTCTTTGTATTATGTATGGATATAACCATGTTTATCTATTCGTTTACTTTGCGTTTATGTTGTTTATAATTTAATATATTCATTATGTTACCGAGACACGTCTTACGTTAACCTGGTGACAACTTGTTATACTTGAATTAAACACGATACATATTTACATATCGTTAAGCTATACGCATTTCACTTTCACCCTCAAAATCACAGCTTGGGCTTCTGCGGATACAGTTACAAAATAGAAAAAGGTCATTCAACTTTTCAGAATAGCCAACTACTGAATATTGTTTTTACCTAACACACATACGGAATGACAGTGGTGGCAACTAGTATATCTAGCACAGTCTCGTTATTCTATATATGCATGAACTTTGAAAATAAATGAAGTAGCTGTGTAATAATAACGAACAATCTATGCACTGTTACAGCTCGTTACACAATAAGAATGACGTAAGTGATAACATCAGAAGCCTTCCGCCGTAGAGAACACACACTCATCAAAACCAAACAAGGTGTAACAGCTCGCTGCTAATACAAAAGGACTGACTGGTACTGTTATTATACAGAACCAAGTAAACGATAGAGGGCGCTCATCCACTCTTTGGTTACTGGTAAATACAAAGTTACAAAATGGGCTATATGTGTGTTCTGTCTTTTAGCGTTGTAAGTCTATAGAATTACCGCTGAGCCTCGGGGGGTGGGGGGACATTCTTCAAACGTCTGTCTTTAGGGTAAATCTGAAACATTCTCCCTGCAAATTGTACTTTCCAAACTGTGGGAAAAACTATAGACACTATCCATGCAATAGCTCTGGTACAAATAAACCTCTTCTATAGACACTCTTCATAATGGGTCTAAAATCTAAGTGTTTTAGAAATACAAGCTTTTTTGCATTTAGAATAATCCTGTTGCTGCAATGCATCCTCATGTTAGGAATTAGCCTCACTATACAGATGCGTCAGCTGAAATTAATTGCTAGAAACAAACACCGCCGTACACTCGTCATAACCAACATCCTAACGATACTGCCTACACTACCTAGTAACTCTATCATTACATCTTGATCAGGACTCTGTACTCCAAACAAAATTTCATATTTATATGATTATATAAAAGAAAAGGGAAACAGAAGACTTCTAACTTGATAACACTCATCCATGAACAAAGTACTGGACCAACTGTTAAATGATGATAATCTAGAGTTTTTTTTCCTTTTCACGAAAGATGAAATTAAAAATATAATGTGTGACGCAAAGGCCTAACGCATTCTTTGATTCGTTGTACCATCTGCTGTACACTGCAGTTTTGTTTATTCAAGGTTCATCAGAACCGCTTGGAGTCAGCAAACGAAATATTATATCTGGTAACATAAAAATAAATCAGTAATGTTCAATTCCCATAATTTGTTTTTCGTGTTTTTTTTAAGTTCACTGATATCAATTATATACTCCGTAGATTTCTTCCAAACACACAAGATGAACATGACTCCCATGTTGTTTCTTTTGTTTAGCACACGTTGAAAGTTTTTCATCTAACAGCTGTGAAGCAAGAAGACTACTAAGTTACCTGGAATAAGGTTTCTATTTACACGAGAACAACTATAAACTTTTGGCATTTCACGTATTTCTACAGAAAAATAACAAACAGCGAGGACATGTTTGTATGTATTAAAATTAAACCTAGAGCTTCTGTGAGACAAACACTTAAGCTACTGCCATTATTACCTTCAAGAACAATAGTGTTACGTCTCTGGTGTTTGTTAGTTTTTTTCTTCTAGAAATTATTTCCGAGAAACTTCAGCGATACAAGTCTTTTCTTAAATAAAACTAGTTTATTTTTGCTCAATTCAACTTTGCA